ATCGTGCGCCCACGTTTCACTTCCCACCTGATGCGTCTCTTTCACGCCCACGCCATCCCCCGTTGCCGTTAATTGCATGGATGGCTACACTGGAGGCCTGCAACTGGTGCGACCCAAGCTAACCTACCTCCACGCACAGCATCTAGCTCTGATCCAATTTCCCGACACCGCTCGTGCCAAAAAATGGTAACTACTGTCTCCTGAACCATCTACCAGAAAGGAATGGAAAAACATCTGAATCTATTGCAAGAAAATATGAATGACAAAACCAATGATGGTAGACCAAATTGATCCAAGTCATATGAGATGCCCATGTCTAGTAATGACTAATTACTCTTACATAATAAACTTGGTTAACATAACTAATTCTAGTGTGTCTGTCTGCCTATCTGTCTAGACGGTCTGCTTGCATATATTCATGTCCATTTTTCTATTCATCTATTTGTTTATCTATCTATCTTTATCTCTCTACTTGTTTATCTATCTTTATCTATATATTTTTTATCTCTTTATCTATTTGTTTATCTCTCTCTTTATCTATCTATTTGTTTATCTATCTCTCTTTATCTATCTATTTGTTTATCTATCTATCTTTATCTATCTATTTGTTTATCTATCTATCTATATATTTTTATCTCTTTATCTATTTGTTTATCTCTCTCTTTATCTATCTATTTGTTTATCTATCTATTTGTTTATCTATCTATCTTTATCTATGTATTTGTTTATCTATCTGTTTATCTATCTACCTCTCGGTCTGCCCCCAAGAGCGATGAGAGCAAAACACATCAAAGCATGGCCCTCATATGCAAAAATATTTCCAAAAGCAGCTGGCCCGACCAAGACGTGACTCTATATCGCTATCGCTCTACCATCGATCCCCGGGAAGGTGCAACAGCCTTTGTATCCCGCCCCACGCCAGCTCCTACAACAGCGACATCGGGGAGGGAAAAACCGCACGATTTCACAGAAAAATGACACTTGACAACCCAGACGAATACACTGCAGCCACCGGCGAGAAGTGGTGATGATTCTTCACCACACAACGCTTTCATCATCATTAGTCTCGGCTTCAGCTACAGGTCACTGGGTCCATTCAACATTGCCCCTCTTTACTCCCCCCACCCCCGTCGCCCGCCCCTCCGCCACCTGCCCCACACCATACCCACGTCGTGACATCTGCTAACCGCCCGTGCCCAGGACATGAATTGCCGGGGGGTGACAGGTGATTGTAAATAAGATTTCCAAATGATCTGTACCGTTCACGAATAACTATCGGAACATATCGTCCGTCCGAACAACTACGGTTCGGTGAGGCCACGGTTCTCAAAAAACAATTGCTAGACATAAGCCTAACCGTAAGTCTGACAAATGACTTCGATGAGTGAGCTACAACGACGAGGTTTAAATCGTCAGCGGCACAAAATGCGCGCCGCTTCTTGCAAGACGGCGAGTGCTTCTGGCGAGCCTAATTCTAGGAGACATTCCACATCCGTGCTCCCCATCCACCACTTACCCCGAGCTGTCACCCTCGCTGTCACACCACACACCGACACTTACCGAGTATGACGGGAAGAGGGAAAGCAAGAGCTTCCTGATGTGTGGTTCTTCAGGGGTCACGTCCTCTACACAGCCGCGCGCGGCTCAGCTTCTTGTCTTCTCTTTCCCCCTCTCCTTCACTCGTCTTTCTGCCTCTCCTGACGCGGTGGTTGTCAGCGGCGAGGGCAGAACTCCAGATACACGTATGAAAGATCCATAAATTGTGGAAAACGACAGGGTTCTCCACCGAGAAATGTCCCAGTCTGGTAGTTCTCTCGCCCAAGACTCGGGCTTTCGAACCAGACTTCTACTACTACTACTAACTCCTTGCACTCACTGTAAACACATTCCCGCACAATGACACCCGCTGTATCCTCATACACCTTACATAAATGAGATACTCGAAAGCAGATCGTAGTAGGTAAACTCACACAACAGAAAGAAATGAAGGTATATTTCTGGGTACAACGGAACGCTCGCCACAACAACCTTCGCACAACACAACTAAAGCCCAACTGTACTCTTCTGGTCACCCTAATCCTAGCGCATGTCAAGCTCCTTCTACTCCACCACCTCACGTCAATGTATCTCACGCCATTGTACAGATCTCATCTTGTACTGTCATAGTGGACTACGTTCGTTATCGAAATAGTAATAAAGTACTTTACTGAGAGGCTTTATTGCGTATTTGGGTCTTCGAGGTTCGTGAGAGTTAGCGTGTGTGGGGAGGGAAGCCCTGCTCGGCGCGGCGCCACACTGTCCATGAATGTAAGCGGTGTTGACGTAACCTACCCGATGTTTAGTAGGATTTGGAGATGTTTTATAATGTTTCACTTCTATCTTAATCCCGCGGACATCGCTTCCGCAGAAACCTCTGCTTGCTTAATTATTATACTCATTGCAATAGAAAGGTCGACAAGGTCCGTGGCTAATCGATAACTTACACCATCGTGTACGCATA